GCTAGATATTGAGCACCTTGTTTCTTTTTCATTTAATACCCATGTGTTTTTCCCATTTTCACTTTGATTACATTTCGGGTTTTTCCATGCTGTTTTAGTCTATCGCAACTTAGGCCGATGTCTTTTGAGATCATTAACGCTAATGTATCTGTCTGTTAGATAACTCAATGAAAATAGATATTACTGACCGTACAATGGAACTGTTATTAAGTTATAAAACAATATCAGTTTTATCCTCTGAATTGCGTTTGAAAGTTTCTGATTTAAATTATGCTCTACCTACTCTGATTTTAGTAAGCAAGAAGCACAAATCTGTACTCAATAACTGAATTGGATTTTATATTTTACCAGGGAAATCTAATATTGTAATTTATCGTTTCAAGTTGTCATGATCAGCAGCTATATGTGGTGGTTAGAACCTCACTATTGGTATGGAAACGTATGATCGATTTGCTTGGCATGATAACACTGGTAATTAGTCAGGTTTTCTATTTGATAACCACTCAAGATACTGTCCAAAGCGAGATAAACGTCTTATGGTCTGGTGCTAATATGTTTTTGACTTGAGTTGCTGTATTTTACGCCACTATGTAATGCATCCGTGCGACTTTCAAATCATAAAGTTCGATTATATTGCTGAAATTAACCAAAAAGGTTAGCTTAAACTAGCAGTTAGTGCCTTCGTAAATAAGTGCATCTTCTTAGTGGAGAACAGGAATCCTCTCGTAGATCCTTTCAGCCAAACATTTCTTAAAAACAATAGAATTAATATTTTTTTTATGATGTAGGTTGGAAATTCATTTTATCATAAGATAAATGTTAGGGCAACTTAACGTGTTAACAAAATACAGTATAAAAATTTCTCGTAAAATTCTATGCTTTTTGGAGTTTGTTTCGAAACGAAATCGGGTAAGACAAAGGTATAATTTTAAGTAGGTACTGTTCATGCTCCGCCTGGAGTCCCTCCGGGGGCTACTGCCGGTCCCAAGCCCGGATAAAGGAGGAGGGTTGGACATGGGGTTAGCGACCCCATCCCTTAGAAAACTAACTCGCTAAAAAAACGCTAACCAGAAAAACTATTCATGCTCATTAAACCCTAATTCACCCACTTTATTTAGGATATTTGGTGAGGTTGACCCATTCAACCCCATACGCAACGTAGTTGGCACATGTGCCTCGGTTCAAGCTGCCAACACACCAAAACAATCAAGTGAAATGGTTTAGGAAGATCTAAATGCATTACAGATAATAACAGTATTAGTTGTAATAAGAAAGATTAAGTATGGTCAATATGATTCGAGAAAAGAGATGAATTAGTGGAATGAAAATAATTGATAAGGTCATTTAGAGTCTTAAGGTTAAAGAGAAAACCAAGAGTGAACGCCTATGTATTATTGTTAACAATTCTGAGCCATTTTATCAAATCTGTAACCATTGTTTGGGAAAAACGCACAGACAAACTAAGTAGTCTACACCTATCTACATAGTTGAGTTGAACTGACAATGGGTTCATGGATTAATTGCACATTTCGGTTTGGCCTCCCCTAGCCAGTTTAAGATCTACTCCTACACCAACGATCATCATACGTCAAGGATGGTTATTATTAACCAAAATAGTTTGCCTTATTGATCCTTGACTGGTCTCTCAGGTCCAATATATTTCCCTGAATGTTTCAAACAACATATAATTATTTGATATTTCCTTCTCTGGCAGCTTTTCTGCTTTCATCGTTAGTTCATTCATATATTCCATCTTATAAGCTCTTTACCCGTTTCCTACTTCTGTTTATTTGGCGTGTCCCTCTGGGATTTTTGTGCGACCATCATTAAGTGCTGTCTTTGTGTTCTTTCATTCTTCAATCCTGCCAAGGGTATTAACAGAGATGCACTCTTATTGGTTGTGCTTTTTGTGGCTCAGGTTTTCCTCGAGCTTTGGAGTTATTGCTTCTCCGAACTCTTCCCAGTTGTTTTCCACGGTTATTTCCTACTTTTTTAAGCAGATCATTCAGCGCTTCGAACTTTTTGTTGATGGCCATCTTGAATTCATTGATTTTGTCCGTATCGCGAAGAAGGTCTGTATTAAACTTTTATAATGACATCTCTTTTAACTAATAGAAATGTGATCGATCTGGTCCTCTCTAGTCTGATCCGGTGAGACCCATGTGGCTTTATGTATATACTTAAGGGGCAATACAGTGCCAGCTGTAACCATTTTGTTGGAGGCCCGTAAGTTTACACATCTGTCACCATTCCTCTTCCTTTCTCTCAGTCAGTCCATGTTTCATGATATCGTCATACTCGGTGTCACCCATTCTGACTTTGGCATTTAGTTCTTCCATCAGATTGGTTAGGTCATTTCCTAGGCACTTCTCTATGATCGACTACAGCCTCTCATAAAACTGATCTTTGTTGTCTTTGTAGCTATCATTAGTGGGTGCACAGCACTAGATAAAATTCATTGTAATCCCATCCTTTGTTACCAAAGGATGCTTGGACGCTAATGGATCCATGAGATTCCCACCCTATAAGTGCAGTTCATGCTCCTTCAGATGGTATCAGTGCAACCTCTTGATCATGGAGCATTTTATTCTTTATGATTAGACTACAACAGCATTTCTCCCGAATCTCGTATTTTCTGTCCAGCTTGGGTTCGACAATTTTCACTTATTTTGAGCACCATCAAATTGTATCTTCTCATTCCCCAGTCATTTGGCTGGACCTTCCCGTTTCTACATTGTCCGGACATTTCATGTGCCTATGTGAATTGTTGTTCTGGTTGTCAAAAGGGGCATCGGCCTTGCGTCTCTCGGAGAATCTCGGATTTCTTCATTGGGCGTCATAATTCTTCTGAAAGGAGGTCCTTCAACCCCGAGGACAGAGTTTAAGTGGTTTAGTTTGTTTATTGTGGTTAGTGTTTATTTAGCTAGGTCATTTTCTGCGAGATAGGATTGCTGAACCCATGCCCAATTCTCCTCTTTTATGTAGGCTTGGGACCGTTAGTAACCCTAGAAGAGCTATGGGTGGAGTTCGTACAACTACACGCATATATAAAATCGCTTAAAAATGACATGTGAATGCTGGAAAATCTCTTAGATTAGGTGATGAGCACGGCTACCAGCGTAAATCTTGCTCTGTTTTTTGTTATATATAGTGTGGTCTCTGAATTTAGACTACTTTATACCATTTCAAGACGGATTGAGTGATGATTTATTTTGGATGTATAGGTTATCAAGAAGTGTATATGGACATATCGAATCGCCTGGTTTCCTTGCGAATATGTTGTCTTGATAAAGCGGACGTCACGTATGACCTTGAAAGGCAAGATAGCTCAACGTAATCTCGAGATACAGGTTTCCAGACCGAGTAGTCAAATCTCAGAACATACTGCTAGATTATTCATGATACGAATTTCGATCTCGTCATTCAAAATAATATAAAAACACCCGTGGAAACTGTTTAGAAAACGAATAAAAAAATCCTGCCTTCTGTTCTCAAAACGAAATTTGAATGTGTATGCGATCGGAATGTGGTCCATCAATTTTACACTATTTGTCTTCAGTCTTCCTCGTAAGGATAAGAGATCAGTCGACCAGTAATAATCTTCTCAATTTGCAGTACTGTGGAAATTTGATCTCTCTTTGAACGTAAGATTCTGATATTTCATGTACTGGAAGAGAATCCCGGTAATTCACTACTTCGTACGAAAAACGTAGATACAAAAGCAGTTGTTTTGTTTTTGGTTTTCGAACATTCTTAGAATGTCCTCTCTTATGAGCAGTCTTAGACTAAAGAAAAAAATGGGACATATTAATACCAAGATCATTGTTCAGCAAATAGTCAGTCTGTATTAAACCACCTTATAAGGTTCGGTTTGGTTTCGGAAATGGGTAGCGACATGCCAGTTTTTCTTCAAACATTTTACCATTTCGGTCCTTCTCCCGTATTCTAAATTTGGCCTTAAAAACATCGGAAGTAATACCTTAGACATTTTTTCGCTTCAAACATGCTTTGTGTGCGGTAGGATTAATACAGGTACAAATCTTGTTGAACCGCCTTTGCATTCATAACATTTTATTCCTTCCAGTACATGGAAGAATGAATTCAGCTATCCATAAATAAATACTGATGGGCAGCATAAGCTGCTTCACGAGGAATAACAGGAGTAAGTAAAGTAGTAAGTACAAATCAATAGTGTTGTATTCCACTAAAAATGGAGTACCACAAAACGGATTTGGTGAAATTTTCAAACATTAAACTCGATAATTTAAGTAAACTAAGTATGATCACGATGCAATGAAATACTTGGATTATCACAATCCGGGAAGCTCAGTGAAAACATAAAAAGCAGTTGGCCTAAAGGAATTTTCACACATAAATTATGGAAAAACGGATGCAGCGTTGGATTCTCAACCTAATTACGGAAGTAAAAGGATCTCAATTGATATAGGATGGTCAGGAAAAAGTAGAGTGTATGGTAAATTATTTTGCAACAATTTTCACTCAGAAACTTCCTCTAGACGAAGAATTATGCCCAAATACAAAGTCTATTTGGTGTGATCTTCGATCGAGACGATTTACTTAAGGCCCTCAGCACTTTAGACGCGGAAAAGTCAACATAATTGAAAATTTAGACCTCCTAACTCTGTCCTACCACAGATTAAGTGGTGATGTGATTTTAACTTACAGAATGCCAAAAATGATTTTGGGCCCAATATATAACATATTACCCGAAGCAACTGTGTCCGCACCTTCAGTCAACTGACTAAAAAGAGGATTAGACTTTCATAGAAGCATACTAGAAAAGGAATAACATAGGCCGTAGGCCTTCTGTCCGCATCTTATGCTCTTTGACGGCAGATAGAACATTATAAGTATCAAAGTTACATTAGATATTGGCACATAAATTAGAAAAACGGGTTTCTAATCATACATAGTGAATTTTATAGTTTTTATTAACTAGTGGTTTTCTCCTGAAGGTCATTTATATTTAGTCTGGGTTCATGGGGTTGTTTACTATTTTAAAAAAGCTTAAACAGAAAGAGAAGGAAGTCCGGGTGTTAATACTGTAAGCAAGAAAGTGAGAATAAGTTGTTGGCAAAATCATTTGACTGACTTTCTTAACACTGATAATTATGCTTGAAGCCTCGAATCTTGTACGATATACGATCGTACACGATATCTTACATTTGAATATCCCATGTTCACAATCTGTCGTGGTGTTGGTTACGAAGTACTTGTTAGTCCTGTTAGAGCCGAGGATTGTCCGTCATCCATTTGCCTAAGTCTCACAGGTCTCTGTGTAAGTTTAGCCAATATACTCATGTGTACTTTCCTGCGACAAATGCTTCTTATCCCTCCATTGGATACACACAGAATTGTCCCATAGAAATAAGCAGATAATAAAGTGAACCTAAGCAGCCTTTTCCAAGTTCGTTGCATACGAACGGCTTTCTGCGTCGGTGAGTAATCATTGCGGATTATATTACATTACCGTGCTTCGGTTTAGGCACCCGGGCAGTACCACAGCCCTCACACATATCAAGTGAGATATGTGTGGCACATATGTATTTGGGGCCTCCTCGTACCAATATTTATATGTTAAAATAAATAAAAAATAAATATTACATTACAGAGAGCGTCCACTGATTTCCAGTACTGAAATTTATGGTAAGCTATTACATCAGAACCAAGGAAGTAGCTGTTAGGGCTCTATCTGTTTTGTCTCTTTTAATGAACCTCCAGAGTATCGTATAGGGCAGTCCTCACTGAAGCGGTCCGATATGTAGGGGAAGCTGACAAATATTAGGTGGAGTTAAGATAATAGTCCACAAATACACTGACTGTTACACTGACCATTTAGAGGTGTGAATTTTTTGCTTCGGTTATTTAGAATCATTGTGCTCCACCATAAGTTTCGGCAGATCTGATTAATGTCTTATTTATGACGCGCTAGATATTGAGCACCTTGTTTCTTTTTCATTTAATACCCATGTGTTTTTCCCATTTTCACTTTGATTACATTTCGGGTTTTTCCATGCTGTTTTAGTCTATCGCAACTTAGGCCGATGTCTTTTGAGATCATTAACGCTAATGTATCTGTCTGTTAGATAACTCAATGAAAATAGATATTACTGACCGTACAATGGAACTGTTATTAAGTTATAAAACAATATCAGTTTTATCCTCTGAATTGCGTTTGAAAGTTTCTGATTTAAATTATGCTCTACCTACTCTGATTTTAGTAAGCAAGAAGCACAAATCTGTACTCAATAACTGAATTGGATTTTATATTTTACCAGGGAAATCTAATATTGTAATTTATCGTTTCAAGTTGTCATGATCAGCAGCTATATGTGGTGGTTAGAACCTCACTATTGGTATGGAAACGTATGATCGATTTGCTTGGCATGATAACACTGGTAATTAGTCAGGTTTTCTATTTGATAACCACTCAAGATACTGTCCAAAGCGAGATAAACGTCTTATGGTCTGGTGCTAATATGTTTTTGACTTGAGTTGCTGTATTTTACGCCACTATGTAATGCATCCGTGCGACTTTCAAATCATAAAGTTCGATTATATTGCTGAAATTAACCAAAAAGGTTAGCTTAAACTAGCAGTTAGTGCCTTCGTAAATAAGTGCATCTTCTTAGTGGAGAACAGGAATCCTCTCGTAGATCCTTTCAGCCAAACATTTCTTAAAAACAATAGAATTAATATTTTTTTTATGATGTAGGTTGGAAATTCATTTTATCATAAGATAAATGTTAGGGCAACTTAACGTGTTAACAAAATACAGTATAAAAATTTCTCGTAAAATTCTATGCTTTTTGGAGTTTGTTTCGAAACGAAATCGGGTAAGACAAAGGTATAATTTTAAGTAGGTACTGTTCATGCTCCGCCTGGAGTCCCTCCGGGGGCTACTGCCGGTCCCAAGCCCGGATAAAGGAGGAGGGTTGGACATGGGGTTAGCGACCCCATCCCTTAGAAAACTAACTCGCTAAAAAAACGCTAACCAGAAAAACTATTCATGCTCATTAAACCCTAATTCACCCACTTTATTTAGGATATTTGGTGAGGTTGACCCATTCAACCCCATACGCAACGTAGTTGGCACATGTGCCTCGGTTCAAGCTGCCAACACACCAAAACAATCAAGTGAAATGGTTTAGGAAGATCTAAATGCATTACAGATAATAACAGTATTAGTTGTAATAAGAAAGATTAAGTATGGTCAATATGATTCGAGAAAAGAGATGAATTAGTGGAATGAAAATAATTGATAAGGTCATTTAGAGTCTTAAGGTTAAAGAGAAAACCAAGAGTGAACGCCTATGTATTATTGTTAACAATTCTGAGCCATTTTATCAAATCTGTAACCATTGTTTGGGAAAAACGCACAGACAAACTAAGTAGTCTACACCTATCTACATAGTTGAGTTGAACTGACAATGGGTTCATGGATTAATTGCACATTTCGGTTTGGCCTCCCCTAGCCAGTTTAAGATCTACTCCTACACCAACGATCATCATACGTCAAGGATGGTTATTATTAACCAAAATAGGTTAAATTGGTCATAATTTACCATACTGTCACTGAAAAGGAAGTTTGAAGAAAGCTAGGGACGACCAAACCAAGATGCAGCACTATTCTGTAGAGTCATTACCAATTCGACCGAGCCGTGTGAATAGATGTAAACTACCTGTTTGGGGTCCGTGTCATAATCCTTACCAATTAATAGAAACTTTAAAGAACACGGTTCAGAATCGTTCACTATGGAGGGGTTACACTCACTATTTAGTTCATGTAGAACCCGAGTCCCGAAATCTATTTATATCTTTCCTCATTCATACTACCCCTAAGACTTTTGCCACTTTTGCTATTGTAGGATTTGTCTCGAAACAATTTTGTCTGACTGTGCTAATGTGGTGTGACAACTTGAACCGATGTACATAATTGTCAGGTCCTATGTTGCATATGGCTGTCTGATTGAAAAAAAAACTCGACCCTTTATACAGGTTTTTTCTTACTTGGATTATTTTGAAAGACTATTGTTAGTATGCATTTGGTAAAATTCTTCCAGAACTGATTAACATATTTTATATTCTATTTTGCTATTATAGAGGATTAGACAATGCTGGCAAAACAACCATCGTAAAGAAATTTAATGGTGAAGACATAAACAGTATATCTCCAACACTAGGTTTTAGCATTCAAACACTAGAACATATGGGGTATCCAATCAAATTATCAACATTATTCTAAGTCTATATTTTTAGTTTCAAATTGAATATATGGGATGTCGGTGGACAAAAGTCTTTGCGATCATATTGGCGAAACTATTTTGAAACTACTGACGCATTAATATGGGTTGTGGACAGCTCAGATCGCCTTCGTCTAGAAGATTGTCGGGTAGAACTATCTAAACTGCTAGTTGAAGAACGATTAGCCGGTGCTACTTTACTTGTGTTCGCTAACAAACAAGTAAGATCAGTAACTGTATTTCCAATTGGTTACTTGAACTAATTATATTTTTCATAAACTTTTCAATTCACTTAATAGACAATTTGCGTAATCATTGTAGCTAACCAGATATCGTAATAATAAACATATTTTTGTGATATCTCAACAAGTGGAAAATTATATTTCGGACGTTTCATGACTTGATGCAAGTCACTTCTTTTGTTATTTATTTATTTATTTAAACACATAAACATTGGTACAAGGAGGCACCAAATAGATATGTGCCACATAAATCATTCGATTGGTGTGAGGGCTGGGATACTGCCCAGGTGCCCAGACCGAAGCAGGTGGTTTTTTTTGGGGCCACACCCCGAGCCTTTGACATAAAGGTCTGATTCACATGGCAGTGGTGCAACGTAAGGAGATGCAGACACATGGTAGCCGTGACCAACGATTGGTTCACACACCATTTGTTCCCTCAGGGTAATGGAGCCCATGTGCACCATTGATTTGGATCCGGTTAAAGCGCCGGACATTCGCTTTTGGTCCTCTCACTTTCGTAAACAACACCCCTGCCACGAGAAGGCAGTGAGTAGAACTTCCCTGGCAAAGGCTGTGTGAGAGCATTTCGAGAGGGAGGGCGGGCCCACCCCACTTTCGGCCATACTAGGGCATTTGGGGGCAAGGTTGTGATGGGGGGTGGGATTCGAACCCACGCCCTTTCTTTTGAGTAAATAGATAACGGGAATAAGATTAACATGACTTTGAATAGTACGAAAGAAGCAGTGCAGAATATGTTTTTGGTCGTAGTAAATATATTCATTATTTCCCTCGTGCTATTTAAACTCATTTTGATCTTATTTCCGTTATTTATTTACTCTGAAGAAGTGACTTGTATCAAGTCATGAAACGTCAGAAATACAGTTCTCTACTTTTTGGGATATCACAAAAATATATTGATTATTAATCTTCTACCCAACGCTCTGTTTATTTGAAACTATCATGCCCAATCTTGGCATTGATACCTATTAACTAGATATCCATTTTAAATTGTTTGCACAAAGTAATAGGACATTCTTGATGAAAAGTACCAGGTTTTTCTAAATACTGTAAAGATGGAATGTTACATGCTATTTTCTATTCATATATTTTTCACAGTTTTGACTACAAATATTAACCTCTTTTATCCAGTGTGAGTCTGTATATCTTTATTTACTGTCTCTAATCAATATGCTATCTGGACTTCGACTCCCTGTATTGTTGAGAACATCATGTGTGTGAGTCAATTACAAACTAAGGGACACAAAGACAAATCATATATCATTTACATGATCAGTCGCAGCATCTCCAACAAATTATATAGGATAAAGTAGCACCCCACGTCTACCTGAACACTAGTTATCTGTTAAATGTCATGACTTAGCTTCACTTATATCAATGCATGTGGACAACCATGTAAATGACTTCGACTAAGAAAACATCAAGATACTAAGCACATGATAGAAAGAATGCCAATGAATTTTTAGAAGCATGACAATCTAATAAAACACCAATCATTAGACACATTGAAATCAATCAAATCTGTCAGTCGATGTTGTTGCTCAGAAAAGCAATAAAAGCTTCACAACTAAATCATTCAGCTCATAGAACATAGGACCTTCAGCTTACTGTCTGGATCATTGCAGATGAACGTATGTACGAAAATCTATACGTACAGTTCTAGCAAATCACATGGGGGTTGAAATGATTGTTTACGCAAATGTCCCCTAAAGTTTTTGATACTCGAAGGAGAGCTCAGAAGGACCGAATGATAATTCAACGAGTAAAAATTGTAGCTTGCATCACGGGAGAAAGAGTAGATCATTATAAGTAGAACAGCGAGTTATCCAAACAGCCTGACTTTCGAACATTCCTTTGAGTGTTTTGGGTAATGGGAACGGAAATAATGTAAGTATGTATACAAATGAAGGGGGTATCGAAAGACATATACCCTACATTTTCCACATGCTCGTGGAAATCATGCAACCTGGCCGCCTGAGACTATCATATGTGGCTCAGAATATAAGTTAGTAGTTGTATTTCTGTAAAGTGAAATGAAATTTTTTAACCAAAACAAACTTGTCTTGCTTGTATTTTTCATGGAACTGTATCTCATCAAATAGTATTCTTGTCCCCTTTTTTGTTGAATGTGAAACTACCCCCTTCCATTATTTTACAATATTATTTGATTTTTTCGGCTCATGTTTTTCGGGTGCAATATTGTTAGAGAACTTTTATGTTTGCTAGGGTTGGTGCTGTTACGAGTTCACTTAATCTGCGAACGAGAACAAAGACTCAGTGACCAAAGACCAGTAAGTTAGCTATTTTGATGCGTCCCAGCCCTACTAACCAGAGGGAGAAGTCCAAGCTTGGAATGGGAAAGTATATTCTGCAAACAGCTAGAACGAGCGCGATCCACAAACACAATTCAAACATATATATACTATCAATTATATATATATAATCGATACTGCCATCGAAGTATTTCTAAACATTTAATCGACAAGTTAGTCAATCGACTGCCATTGAAATATTTAAACATTTAATCGATAAGAATAGTTTAGTTCATTAACAATTATACGGTAAAATATACGTATAGTATTTGGTCCACAAATGGATCCTAAAAATTACCCCTCATTATGCTTATCGGGGCATAAAAGTGTGCTATAAATAAGTTTAGCAAATCAAAGTTTCTATGGTTTTGGTTCGCATGTTTTTTGGATAGAATACCTACTGAATTACTGAGACGAAATTGAATTTGGCCATATGTTATCATCCCATGTTGTTATACTTTTAAAATAATGAAGCTATAAGTGGATGGTGCTGATCTATTGGTCGTAACGCTTGCCAGTAGGTTACGTCTTACACCATTTACTTTAACTTAAACAACTGGATATTATCACTAACCCTCGCATCGTCAATGTGGTTCAGAAGTAAGCACACAAACATAGTTACTGACTTAAGCCTGTTACCCCTCGTGGAGGAGTATAGGCCGCTCACCAGCATTCTCTATCCAGCCATGTCGTTAGCGATCCTTTTCATCTCTTTCCAGTTGTTATTCATCCTTTTCATATCTGCCTCTATTTTCAGACGTAATGTGTTCCTTGGCCTTCCTCTTTTCCGTTTCCCTTCAGGATTCCAAGTTAGCGCTTGTCTCGTGATGTAGTTTGGTGATTTCCAAACATGTACTCGGTAATTTAAGTTAAACATGGGTTAAGTGATGGATAAAAATTATTTACTGAACAAATGCCCTAGTACGGCGGAGAGTGGAGAGAGTCAGCTCTCCCTCTCGAAATGCTTTCAAGTAGCCACGTGCATACAACTAACAGATAAGTCCTACTCACTGCCTTCTCGTGGCAGGGAAGTTGATTAAGAAATTGAGAGGACGAAAAGCGAATGTCCGGCGCTTTAACTGGGTTGGTGAATACGGAAGATCCACCCAGGGGAGTTGGAAAACCCTGATCCCAAACCAATGGTGCACATAGGCTCCAGTATCCTGAAGGAACAATTGGCGTATGAACCAATCATTGGTCACTGGCTACCGTGGAACTGCATCTCCTTACGATGCTCCACTGCCTTGTGGATTAGATCATTATGTCGAAGGCTCTGGGTGTGACCTAAGAAACGATTGTTCCAGCCAGTATAGCTCGATTGGTTCATCACGATAGGCAAGCTCAACCACCACGTCAACGGTGGCAACAACGATCGGGATTCAATCCAGCTATCATTCAAATTTGTCATTATTAATCAAAAAATTTGTATTTTGCATTTTAGGATTTATCTTCATCATTGAAACCATCACAAATACGTGAATTATTACATTTAGATGAGATAACAACACATCATTGGTTAATTCTTGGTTGTAGTGCAGTTACTGGGGAGAATTTACTAGATGGTATAAATTGGTTACTCAAAGATGTATCTTGTAGAATATTTTCATCAGATTAATTACTTTCTATTTCAAATCGCCGTCGTTAGGATTTACTCTCTTTTTTCAAAAGAAATCAATTTGTGTGATTACATCATCAACAATGTTTATCATAATTCCTTATATATGAAAATAACATTGGTAACATGATTTTGTGCGTAAATAATAAGCATACGATATGATTGTACACATTACTTATGCCTGTAAATATAATAATTATTCCAAATATTATTTCTTTTCCGTTCATGGAAGACCTTTAAATGACGTTGCATTGATCTTCATAATGTTCACTTACTTACTTACTTACTTACACTTGTTACTCTCAATGGAGCATAGGCTGCCGATCAGCATTTTCCAACGCACTCTGTTCTGGGCCTTCCTTCCTAGTTCTATCCAATTTTTGTTTGTCTGTCTCCATTTCTCGATGTAATGTGTTCTATGGTCTTCCTCTTCTTCTTTGGCCTTGAGATTCCAAATGAAGATGAAGGCTTGCCTTGTGACTTAAACTTACAGGGTGTTTATGAACTAGTGTGAGAAGTCAGGATTAGGATTTATGGCTGTACGTTTGGGTTAGGAGTTAGATTTAGGGTTTTTTTATCACGAGCTAATATAAGATATCATGTCAAATTGCTACTTAGCAAATGAATGGATGACTTTCGCGCCAAAATCTAATACATGTTATCTTAAATCTGATTGACTCGTTCATAAATTACAGTTTCACCAGAAGTGTATATACGACTGACACTTGCTGCATATACCATTGAAGGTTATCTTGGGTCTACTATTGATGGTTTCACTTACCACTGAATTCATGTAAAAATTGTTTGAGGCCTGTCATTCGTGAAGTTCTTCGTATTGGTCGGTTTTATAATGTTGCTTCAGTAATCTCTAAAACTTTCGCACCGGAAATTTGGGAGTCAAGGGATTTTGTGAAGGATTGCTTGAGATGTTTGTTATTTGAGGATACATATAATTGGCATCACACCCCAATACGATTCCAACATAATTTCTTCCACGGGCCTTGCAAACTATGACAGAGAGTTGCACCACAGCTGTCGCTGGAGAAGTTTCGTATGTTACAACATTAGTCTCTAAATGCTTGGAAAACAAGATTTTGTACCCCATTAAGAGCTCATCTAAGCCATGGTTTATTAAAGATTTTTGGTCGAACAAAACACATTGCCATCAAGCACCGTTAAAGGGGCTCGATAGAAGACAATCATTCATTCTGGAGCACATGTTTAGACTCGAATCCTGCTCTAGTTCGAGCACGTATTTGACTGCGCCTTATTGGACGTAGAAAAGCCATGATAAGAAAAACCACTTACAGTTCAACTTAATGATAAAAAAGGTTAACAATACACATAAGGAATAACTAGAGAAGTCAGTCAATCATGAAAGTGATATCCACCCTGAGGTAACTTGGAATGATATATCAAAAGAGCTGTGGGAACAGCAGTGATATCTACTAGTAACATGAACCAATAGGTCAAGAAAAAACTAGATTTCAGCGGCATTTACTGGACTGATAGATGTTAGGGAACTTATCCCGTTTGGCTCCGAACACGATGAGCGGAAGCAACTTAAACGTAGGCTGATAAAAAACCTACATAAAGATCGTGAGAAGTGATGGGTAGTGGAAGCAGAAGAGATGGGAAAGGCAGCTGTGATAAGTAACAGTAGACAACTGTTTAGACGTTTCAAGGAAACGAGTATTAATAAGCCGGCTGTTAGTGAAACTATCTCGGAAAAGGTCGGGACTATTATTCACTGTCAATCCAGAAGACTGAAGCGATGGGCAGAACATTTTGGGGAACAGTCCAACTGACTTTTAGTCACATTTCGGTTCCCCATAATGCCAACCTGAGTTACTTGTGTTGTGGGCGACAAATCCATCTTTCAAACGACGGTGAGTTTACTGCGCAGCGATTCGCTCTATCCTATTTTATGGATGTGAAACGTGGTCATTAAGAGTAGAAGCTAATCGTAGGCTACTAGAATTCAATCATAGGTGTCTATAAAGCATTGCTGATGTATTTAGGGATTACGGAAAAAGTAATGGGCGGGTTAGGAATATAGTACTAGGTAAAGATGGGGTATCGATTGATGAGGTGGTAAATCTTCAGCAACTGAGGTGATTGGGATGTGTTGCGCATCCCCAACCACCGCCTAGGTCGACGGGCGATGTGTAGGAGTAGGCTTCAAGAAAGCTAGAGACGACCCAACCAACACATGGCACCAGTTCATAAAGACACTGACGATTGGACTTATTCATGTTAATAGGTATATACTACCTGGTCGAGTGCGCGTTGTTAGTTTAACAAATGGTTATAGACTTTGAATGACATGGCTCCAAATCGTCAGCAATGGCTCAGTTGCATCCATTCTTCGTCTTCCCTCAAATTTTGAGCTTTTGAATTCCTCGTCGTTTAATATTTTTATTTTGCAAATTTATACTTTCTTTTCGAGTCATATCGTCGATGCCTAGTCTTTTCTATTACCACTGATACTGTTACTATTTCTACTATTCCGGGACTTGAATTTATGACTATCTCTGTGTTAATACGGTATGGAAAATTGAATTGATGTACATACGTACCACGTTCTAAGTTGTGACAGACCGAGTGAAATACGCTGAGTAGGTAATAAGTTAGTAATGGAAGTTTTCTACCTCTTCCAACATACGTGATTAGGGCACCTAAATCGTTTTGCAGTAGCTTATGGTAGTTTATAGTAATGTTTCTTCTATAACTGATCATTTCTGAGGCTGTCACAAAAAAAATTAGAACAACACATATAAGCGAACAGTATTGTTTTCAATAAAGATCGTCATCAGGCTTTACTCTAATATACATGGATATTTATACGAAAATTTTTTAAACCAATCAAGGCAATATGAGTCAATAATCACAATGTAAGAGAATAAGTCTCTACACATTAAGTAGGTAAGAGGACAAGTTGATAGTAGTACGAAGACAGGTGAACTGATAATAGTGAGAATAATAAACTACAATAACAAAACTCTTATCAATAGTTAATCGTTGGAAATAGAAGGTCAAATAAACATGGGTAAATAGACTAGGAATAGTAATCACAAAACCTTAAAAATCATTACGTAATAAGATGTGTGTAAATAATTAGATAGTGAAGAATACAAAGAGGCGGATTATGACAAACCAATAATGGATGTGGAAATAAGGTTAACAATAACACAAATAGAATAAAATAAATAATGATAATAATAAAATTTATAAAAAATATTTAAAAAAATTTGTTAGTTAAGTTATAACTGGCCATGGAAGGGATAGGGGAGTCACGTATTTCTTCTGTACACATAGATTGGGATTATATGTACGAATTCCAATGGCTTCAGCTATATATAGGAGACGGGAACGGACTCCGTCGGGAAATGATGGAGGTATACGATAGATAACTCGAAATGATTTCGATTTATCTACTGCATGACCGCTATCAATAAGATGTGCCAATATAGAACTCCGAATAGTTTTTCTCTGACCCTTTATGTACCAAGTTGGTAAATGTTCACTCATTCGTTGGTTAAGTTGCCTGGTAGTACGCCCTATATAGCTATCTCCACAGGAGCAGCTGAATTTGTAAATGCACATGGAAGAGGCCAACTCAGGTAACTTATCCTTCGTTTGAGTAGACATCGCTGGACGACAAGAGAAGGTCAACGCAAGATTGGCTGCGTAGAATGTCTTGGTGATTACTTTGGTTAACCTATATTTCAGAGTGTCACTAGCCACATCCCCGTTGAATTGCACTTTCATGTATAAAGGTTTCTTACGAACAGTCGAAATCTCCGACTTCTTTATTATATCCTGCATGTATTTCTTGATGAACGCGCTGGGGTAGCCGATCTCGGTCAGTGAGTTGTTGAGAAATTCAAGCTCCTGACTTAAAGTGTCTACTGTACAGATCTTTTTTGCTCTGCTCGTGAGACATCTGACCAAATTTCTCTTGTACCGGATGGGTGTGAAACTGCAGAAGTGAGTATATTGGCATGAAGAGGGGTTTCTTCTATACACGCTTCTACTTAATGTGCCGTCACTTCGTCTGCTTAGCGTGACGTCAAGGAAGCTCAGCTTCTTATCATGCTCGCTTTCACCAGTGAAGGTGATCGCTGGGTGAACACTGTTGAATTGGTCTAGGAGTTCCTCTTTACTAGTGTTTTGGTCTACGATAATGAATGTGTCGTCAATGTATCGGCAATATAAATCCAGTTTCTTAATAGTCTCATTGAGAGGTCCGTTTTCTAGCTTTGCTAGGAAGAGGTCAGCTAAAATCGGGCCTAGAGGCGAGCCCATGGCTATCCCGTCTATTTGTCTATAGTAAGTATTGTTGAAGACAAAATGTACATTCAGAGTGCATCTTAGGAGCAGTTCCCTTAGGCTATCGTTAGGCAGGCCAATGTTGATTTGTTTCTTTGATATTTGCTTGCATATAAAATCAATAGTCTCTATAAGTGGTACGTTGGTGAACAAAGATTCTACATCCAATGAGATCATATTTTTCATGCTTACATTAATATTTTCTACTTTGGAGATGAAGTTGAAGTTGAATGATTAAGGGAGTATTTGAACAAATGAATATTGAATCATAGAAATAAAAGTGGCTGCTGAAGCCTAGGGTAAATACCACTAAGCCAGGGTACATGCAGTCCAAAACGAAGCCAGGTGCATACTTCATTATATATTTTTGGTTCATGATAATTATTTTTCCGCAGGTTCACCTACGGGAACGTTGTTACAACTTTTACTTCATGTAAATGGTGAAATTAGTTCATCTCAGCACCAGTCGAGCGGCAAAGACACTACAACAAATAATCCAATGACCTCACTAAACCATTCAAACGGTAGTAGCAACGGGTGGTGTGTTTAAAGGATAGGGACGAAATCAGAGCAAAGTTTATGACTTGCGCTTACCAGGAATTCCTCGTTCACTGGTAATAATTGCAAGCCGCGATCCTAGTCACGACTGTGATGAAACAATTTGCCCAACTCTTTCGAGCCAGGTTTCCAGAGTCATTGGCACCGTCATTGTAGCGCATGTGTGGCCCCGGACATCTAAGGGCATCATAGACATGTTATTGCTCAATTTCGTGCAACGTAGGTGTGCCGCTTGTCCCTCTAACAAGTAAAATCCGGCATCTTACCCGCCGGATCACGATCACACTACACCATCAAGAAGTTATAGAATCCGCGCCGTAAATGAGTACGGAGGATCAGTCTATTATTTAACAAGTTAAAGTCTATTTCTCATCGGAATTAACCAGACAAATCACTTCAGCCAACTAAGAACAACCCTGAAGAAGTTCAAACAAGTTTGTTGGACGAAACATTGAAATTATTTAAATAATTAAAAAAAAAAATCTTACAAAAAAAGTAATGTATCTCATTCATTGAAATGAATGTTTGTTTTTTTTTCACAAGAAATATGATCTTTAAAGAAGAAAGAAAGAAAGAAAGAAAAAAGAGAAAAGAATTTGTAAAATGTACTCATGATCCCGTTCAACCTGTTGAACGTGATCGTAAATGACCAAGTTCTGTTGATAATTTCTGATCATTTCTATACGGATTGATAATACCGATTTTTTTATCATGTAATAATTCACCAACAAATTGACATTGTTTTGGTGTTTTCATTTCATCATTACCATTTAATGTCATATCATTTAACCATTGTTTCCATGGTACAATAATTTGTTTCGGTGGGATAATCAATTTTGGTTGATCTTTTTTATTATTCGGATACCAAATTAATGATTGTGCTGCATTACAATGTGGTGGATTTATAGCAGATAATGGTAATTTTTTATTCTTATCTAATATAATTGGTTTTTCATACTGGATATCATCAATATATTTTAAACGTTTACCAATTGGTTGATATGGATCTAATCTGATATGTAATTTATATTGCCAATGGATTGTATTCAATATATATAATTCATCTTGTTCAATATTAATTCGATTATATGAATCTGATTTATAATTTCGACCATGTTTTATTGCTAATAACCATACCGTGAATTGTTGTCTTCTTATAATCTCAGTTAATAGTACATTATTATTGTTACCATGGCAATATGGTAGTTGCCATGCAATTGTTGGATAGAAATAATCTTTATAATGTAATTGAATAAATTTATTTGTTATATAACCATGATGAATAACATAGTTACTATGAAAAATATCATAAAATGGATATTGATTACCATCACTATCATTAATCATTTGATGTCGTCCTGTTTTAATTGGATGAAATTCCCATAATGTACTACCATAATTATTATAACATTGTTCTATATAATTTTTATAACATGCTTGTACTAAACCAATAGTCCAATAGTGTTGATTAATTATACAATTATCATTTATCATTAATTTAATATGACAATGAAAATGTTGACTTTTATATTTGAAAAAATTCAATTTTTCTATGATTTCTGTTTTACTATTTGGATCATAATAAGCATCAATAGATTGAACATGAATTTGATCTAATGAAAATGTTGACATTGATATGTTTAATTAATTAATTAGATCTTTTCAATGATGAAGATGATGATTTCAATGATCAGAAGTTCTTCTTCTTCTTCGTTGTTGTTGTTGTTGTCGTCGTCGGCGTTTTCTTCTTCTTCTTGTTACATTAATTCATTCGTTTATTCATTCATCTATAGTTACTTTAAATGTTTGTTATTGATTAATAATGATAGATCAATAATCAATATAATCTATTGTATTTGAACAGGGCGAGTTATATGAGAAGTTAATTAAATGTAGTTCTTTTCTATTTTATGTGATGAAAAGAATTAATTTTACTACTATTAAACATTAATTATCATCACTCACACACACACACACACAATGTTGATTAGTCTTGGAGAATGGTTGGAAGGAAATTAGGGGGAGGTCAAACTAAAATGTGACATTAGTGTGTGAAGTCGCTAACCTCTAGTCTCAGACATGTTGGTAGATGTAGACTACTTGATTGAGGTCCGCGTAGCTTTCGTAACCAATGGTTGTAGATTCTGGGTGACATGGCTCAGAATCAATCACAATGTCGTCGGTGTATACACTCTTTGTCTTCCCTTAAACTAAGAGATTAAAATCGCTTTATTTCTATGAAGTAACTCTTTCTTCCTGTACTATATCCTTATATACAGTCTTTCTTGTGTATATTACTACAGTTGAAGTAACTACTTCTATGAACTTGGTGATCATTTTGTTGTACTAATGAGGTGTGGCAACTTGGACTGATGCATATATGTGGTACGTTGTTACTGACTGACTTGTGTAATGGTTAGAGGGATTCATTTTTATATAGTAAATTGGAAATTTAAATGTATTGTAAAAATGATGTGACGTTTTCCCACTACAATATCATCTGCATGCTCAAGGTCGAGAAGTGTTTCTCCATGCGACAGATCCACACCACCATTACTTACATCCATCAGAGTTGTTTTTCAGGATGTCATCGATAGCAAAGTTGAAGAGGAATGGTGAGATTGTGTAACCCTTATCCCATTGCTTGAATGAAACAGTGGAGATGGGTGGTTGTATGCGCTTCAAGAGTTGGAGTTATTTGCGGAGTTCCGCTTCATTCGGTGGATCAGTTGTCACAGGTCATGAAAGGTACGACAGTCTGGTCGATGTTGCCGGGGCAGCAGACAAGTTGAAGTATTCCTCGAATAACTTCTGGTCGTTCAAGACGTCGGTAGATGTTAGTGATTGGCATCCACAGATTGTTTCGCTCACACCATAATTCTGGCCGCAAGTGACTCGGATAAGTGGAAAGAGCTCCCGGCAATTATCAGATGCAGCTTCTACATCCAAATCGTCGACACGTTCCAATCACCAGGCCTCTCGGTCCTTACGCAAGATTTGCACAATCTCATTACCCGAAAGGCGTAGTTTGTGGTCACTAGGAGTAAACCGATGCGTTGTAAGGAGCATGAAGAAAGCCAGTGCTTACAAGGTGAACGTTTCGCGAAGCCTCAGGCCACTTGCCATTTTCATGGCGTCATGCAGTTGAAACTAATGCTCATCTATACTTTTCGGTGGAATGGTACCTAACCTTGAACCTAGCTCGGTTTTATGTTTAGTTTCGACAGAAGCTGCAACCAACTTGCTGGCATCGATCCATTTAGGACGATGAATTTCTTGGCTACTGAAATGTAAGATAAGATTGGCACAGACCAAGGCATGGTCAGAGTCCAGATGGGTACTCCGAAAGGAGCGGCAGTCTTTTACACAAAACGTGGCATCAATGCTTGAAGACACCAACTTCTAGTCTGAGCCATGTTGGTAGATGCAGACTACTTGGATGAGGTCCTCGTGACTTTCGTAACCAATGGTTGGAGACTCTGGGTGACATGACTCAGAATCGATCACAATGGCGTAGGTGTATACACTCTTTGTCTTCCCTCAAACTAAGAGATTAAAATCACTTCATATCTTTCTTTCTACGAACCAATTCTTTCTTCTTGTACTATATCTCTATATGCAATCTTTCTCTTACCTATTACTGCCTTTGACCTAATCACTGCTATGAATCCGGTGTTCATCTTGTTGTGCTGATGCGGTATGGCAACTTGGACCAATGCACATATGTGCCTGGTCCTACGTTGTAGCTGACTGAAGTTGGCTAAAACCTCTATAACATTTCACTACCACATTGTTTGTTTTACGAAGGATTTCCACAGCAAAAGGTGAATATCGAATAGACTTCACATTGTTAGTCCTCCCTTCCGATGCTTACCTTTTACAAATATGAACTATTTTGATGGTTACCCTTCTGTTTACGCCCTTATTAGTATGAAACGAATAAATCTCGAATTCCTTATAAAAGTGTCACAAATCGAGAGACAAGAAACAATCGATGATATATTAATTAGTTTCCAGGTAATATACAATTAAACAAAGAACAGTTCATCATGTACAATAAAAGAGTTTATAATAATAATACTAATAACAGTAGTTATTCAAGAAGAAGAAGAAGAGAAAAAAATAGAAATATACACAATATAGTTTATTCAAATTCTTCGATTCAATTTTTGATCACTTGACAATCTAGTTGATCTTCTAGAACTATTTACTACAGATGATGACGATGATGCTGGAGATGATGATGATGGCGATGGTGATGCTGGTGATGTTTCAATTTTTTTATGAGAATGTTTTAATTTTTTAGGATTACGACTACGTGATTTTGTTGTTGAATGACTTTTTACCGAACTGTTATTACTATTAGTATTTTCATTGTCTGAACTTTGTAGGACAATTTTTCTACGACTTGTTTTATTGAATGGTTTTTTTTCTAAATTATTATTGATATTCTTTTGATGAGTATCTGCTATTTCAATATTCTTTTTTGGTTTGATTTGTTTATTCGAAGGATTACTATTAGATACTGTTGGTTTTGAGGTAGGAGTTAGATCGCAATCAACTTCATCATCATCATCGTCAGAAAAATCCAGTAAGTTTTGATGTGATGATTTATCTGTAAAGCATTTAGAACAATAACGAGTCAATAGAATAAATTAGGCGATAATGTTTTAATTGAAATCATGAACTGATGAATGTTAGACCACCACTGAGTGGCCATGTCATCCTGGTGTAGGATTCCTTGGTAGTTCACATTGACAATCCCGCAAGTGTAGCCATGACCAGCGGGATTCAACTACATCAAATATGAGGTAGTTACTCACCGAAGACAATTGAGGATGGTCGCGCAATATCGTGGATTGATTGAACTTAGACATTAACACCGTTGGATGTCGGCCCAATAATCTAGACGTTAAGCGTTCACGCGTGAGACTTGATTTCGAGTCCCCCGTGTAGAGTCGTGGGTGTGCACTGCTGAGGAGTCCCATACTAGGACGAAATAGCCGTTCAGTGCTTCCAGGGTTTCAATGGTGCTTTAGTATTTATTGAATCATGATCTCCCCTACTGTAGCTGCTACCTTGACGTGGTGGTCGGGCTTGCCTATCATGATGACCCAACCGAGCTATAATGGCTGGAACATAAGTTACTTTAGGTTCTACCATGCCAGGCAGGTTGATTGAAGAACGGCAAGACTAAAGGCAGCAACCCAAGATCTGAGGGCGAAGTCGTACTGCTGACTGTAGAGGGGTGTGAGAATAGAAAGATGTTTCCCTCGGGCAACCAGCATCTGCAGCGATGCTGCCTTCTCACAAGGAAGAACGGTTAGAAAAAGTCGACTATAAAAATGTCACACCTCATGGATTTCTGTCTCTGGCGGTAAGACCTTTTGAACAACAGAGCTAATACGTTAAAAACCTCCCACAAAAAGGCCGTGCGCAACCGACCTCAAGCCATCGACGTGTGCTGCGACTTCGAAACGCGCATACAGGATCCGAGCATCGTCATTCATTTTACCCCACTATATCAAAATAAAGAACTAACTCGATCCATGCTTCGTGTATCTGGAAGCCCCAATGCTGCTTCCCGTGGCCCCGCTGGTGTAGGTTCACGATCTCAATTAAAACTCAACAATTTCCACAACTATATACTGATGACTAACAACATATATATATATATATAGAATGTTCAAAATACGAGGCAACTTCATAAACCATAACACGAAATAAGAATACTTGACGTAGGATAGAAGCAAGTCTCACAGTTATGAAATTCAGATTATTTTAAATTCTAAATAACAAAATAAATCGCCTTAGTCAATACTACATGAGTACGAGAAGACAGAGTAGGGAATGCTTAACATGACTGTATAAACTGATTTTTTTTTACACAGGCTGACATTAATTGAGTCAGCAATAAAAAGCAGGTAGCACTGTCTAATTGTTTTGACCTAGTTTAGCACTCTTCAGTTAACCTGGTCCGACAAATATGACCTAGGAATTACAGACTACATACATGGTGGGAGAGTTACTAATTAAAACTGCTGAGTTAGTGACCAATAGTTTAGAATCTATAATACAGGGTAGGGTCACCTCGCGAAATCATCATATATTATCACCATTGTTTGTCAGCTTGCACTTGACAAATTTTGGTTAAATAAGGATAATGTAGAAACATTTTCTGGACTTCCTTGTACATTTATAAGTTTAAGATGTAGCCGATCATAGTGTCATCAAAGAGATAATAATTTGTCAGCTAAAGTTTGAGATGACATATGAGATCACAATATAGTCAACTTGATTTTCGTAGTACGATGATAGACAGAATCGTATTTCTAATTGAAGGCTGCTCTATTGAGTCAGTTAGCTAAAGAATTGAATAACAGAATCAAAAGTGACAAGAAACTCTTACTCCTAGCCACTCACCTAATAAAGGATTACCACCAGCAGAAATAGTTCTATTTGATTGACTAAATATCATTGTAGCATTTCCCTGATTCCTTTCAATGATATGATGTTCAGATGAATTAACCAAGTGAAAGTTCACTCGGGCAGATCCAAGTAACGTAGGTTGAGATTGTTGGATACCTTCATTATTCATCAATGTATGATTGGAGTCATCATCATTATCATGAAGTGGAGAAGTATTTAGCTTGTCATTTTCATTTTCAGATAATATAGATTCATTCAATCGTGTAGAATCAATACCAAGACGTTCCATTTTTTCAACTAGTTGTTTACGAAAACGATGAAGCATAAGATGTAAAGATCTATCAGCAAACTGTCAGACAATAAGAAATGTGATAAAATAAATGGATAATATTAGTAATGAATTAAATGAAAGTTATTATTGTTGTAGAACTTCATTGAATTCTCATCAATCAACAAAATCACTGACTCATTAAATAGCTTGGCTATTAAAAACGAATGTCTGAA